TGGTATGATATGCTATTGCATTAAGATACTAAAGTCCCAACATTATCTTCCACAGATGTAGTTTGTTCTAGAGGTGTTCCTCTACTACGACGATGACCAGCTTTTCCTCGTAAAAGTCTCATCAGTTTGTTGAAGTCTTGTTTAGCTAGAATTGTTGGTTTTGTTAACCAACGAGGTATCGATAGAAGAATCATCAAGGTCGCCCGAGTCTCTAAGAAAAGAGCCCTGGGAAGATGACCGCCAATCGGGGTCAAAATCTGTAATATTGATCCCCTTTTCAGAAAAGCCATTTTTATTTGCTTATTCGAGTATGAATTGTTTTGCTTTCTCCTCTGATTTGGGGCTTAATGTTATAATAAGGTCCTTCACGATTGTTTTACCAGGGCCCAGTTGATAAATTCTCAGTTCATAGCGTAAGCAAGCATTTATCCATCGAAGATAAACTAGCTCCTCTAAATCACTACATCAATGAACTTGGAGTCGTTCAATTTCCTTCATTAAATCTTCATTTTGCCATCTTAAATGGTGACTCTCTTTCTTAAGTGCTTGAGTCTGCTAAAGAAAATATCCAAAATCAAGAATGAACTAGTGTACTACAGGGAAAAGAAGATAAAATGTAATAATTGGAACCATTACCTCTTCATTATCTAGAGTGGAAGGAGCAATCATCTGTAAATACTCCAATTTCTGTGATAGTTCAGAATTTTCCCGCTTCAGGTCATGATTTGACTTCCTCAAATCTTCAATCTCAACCTCGAGTTCGTTCATATTTTGAAGCTTATATTTCATATCAAGATCGTTTTTGACAGCCTTCTTACAATACAGCAACAGTAGCAAAACAAACAGCACCATAAGAAGTTGGAGAATCGGTTAAATCTGTTGATTAGTTAGTCAGTTAGGAAGTTAATTCAGTTAGTTAGTTTACTGTTATTTTCGTTAATTCAGTTGGCATCCTTTGCCTATAAATGATGTAATGTAACACAGATTTTATCAAACTTGAATAATAATTTTCTTCCCCTTTATCTTCATCAGATTATCTTCTTCTATTTTGCATTTCTGAGTTGATGAATTTAACATGGTATCAGAGATTTAGCAAATTCTTTTATTCATTCGTCAACACTTCACTCGCAATATGACAAGCCAAATCAATTCTCTTTTCAATCCTATTGATGATCCGACCAGCCGTTACTATCTACATCCCAGCGACAATCCTGGTGCACTGATTGTGTCTGAAATCTTCAATGGAGATAATTACACCTCTTGGAGCCGTTCAATCTCTATGGCGTTGAGTGTGAAAAATAAATTAGGCTTCATTGATAGATCTTTGGAAGCTCCAAGCCCATCATCTAGTGCTGCATACAAATGCTGGGTACGTGTAAATAACCTAGTTCTATCTTGGATATTCAATTCAATCAACAAAGATATTCGCCAAAGCCTGTTATACATCTCATCTGCATATGAAGTATGGTATGAACTCAAAACCAGGTATATTCGAAGTGATGAACCTAGAGTATATCATTTGGAGAAATGTCTTAGTTTAATTTCTCAAGGATCATAGAGTCTTACTTTGTATTACAATTCGTTCAAAGCTATCTGGGAAGAATATATCAGTTGCAGACCCATGCCTAAGTGCAATTGTGGGATGCTCTCCAGTTGTACTTGTGATATATTGAAGAATATATCGAACACTCAACAATTCGATGCTATTATGAAGTTTCTTATTGGGTTGAATGAATCCTATTATGCACTTAGAAGGCAATTATTGTTGGCTTCTCCACTTCCATCATTGGCTCGAGTTTATGCTCTTATGCTTAAAGAAAAGAGTCAAAGGGATCTGTAGAATTATTCATCATCATAAACAGTCACCATGACAACAAGACAACCTCATAGAACATTCAAGAAACCTCCCCATTGGAAAGAGAAGAAGAAGCCAAAGTATACCCATTTTGGATATCTCGATCACACTGTTTTTCAACTCATAGGATATCTTCTTGGCTGGAAGGGGCTAGAGGTCCAAGAACTTTAACTAATATCTCTGCTGTTAATGCTATAACTCTGGAACAATCTACAAAAGATGAGGGACCAAGCAACTCATTCAATCAAGAGCTTTTTCAACAATTCTTGGCATTCACCAAGACTCACCAAACATATCCTCAATCACCCAATACAGCAACTCAAACAACAGCCACCATCACCACATGTATTTCTTTCTGTAATACAACCTATTCCAAGTTAAAAACCATTACCTGGATAATTGACACAAGTGCAACAGATCATATGGTATATTCACATGCATTATTTACTTCTATTGACTCAGCCACATCCACCAAAGTTTACTTACCAAATGATGTTTCTGTCCCAGTCAGCCATATTGGAAAAGTTAAAATTTCTGATAGTCTTCTTCTTGAAAATGTCCTATGTGTTCCTTCTTTTTCATTAAACTTGATATTAGTCTCTAAACTAACCAAATTCTCTAATATTCATGTAATTTTCTCTGCCTCTCATTGCCTTATCCATGATTTAACCAGCATGAAGATGACTGGTTTTGCTGAAGAAAAATATAGGTTATATCACTTCGTGATTGATCAAAACAAAACTACACCTCTTCCTGTTACAATTAGCCCAACGATAGCAAATATCTCAACTCAATTCAACTATAACATCTGGCATTGCAGACTTGGACATATTTCCAGTACAAGAATGTTTAAGATTCCATGTATTCCTTCTCATATTCTTTGTAACAATTCACATAACTGTGAAATTTGTCCCCTAGCAAAGCAAAAGAAGCTACCCTTTCCAATTAGTACTTCAATATCAAATAAAACCTTTGATTTAGTTCATTGCGACATTTGGGGTCTTTTTCATATGCCTTCTTTTAATGGTTACAGATTCTTCCTCACAATAGTTGATGATTATTCTAGATGCACTTGGGTTTTCATGATGCAATCTAAGCCTAAAACTCGTAGTCACATAAAGAACTACTATCAAAGGGTCATTACACACTTTAATACCAAAATAAAGACCTTTAGAACTGACAATGGTGCTGAATTTCTCATGTCAGAATTCTATGCTACTAATGGAATCCTTCATCAGAAAAGTTATGTTGAATCACCACAACAAAATGGAATTGTGGAGAGAAAACATCAATACATCCTACAAGTAGCCGAGCCCTTTTTTTCCAATCGAATGTCCCTCTCATCTTCTGGAGTGTCTGCATATTCACAGCAGTTCACATTATTAACCGGATTCCATCCCCAATTCTTAACAATAAAACCCTTTATGAGCTACTCTTCCAAAAGCAACATGACTATCATCATCTCAAAACATTCAGTTGCCTATGTTTCACCAACACACTCAGCAATCATAGAACCAAGTTCTCTCCTCGTGCCTCTAGATGTATATTCCTTGGTTATCCCCTTGGATACAAATGATATAAAGTAGATGATCTAGAAAATCACAGAAACTTTGTTAGTATAAATGTTGTCTTTCATGAATCTTCTTTTCCTTACAAAAATTCCCTACCCCAATCAGCAATAGAAACTCATATATTTCGTATCTTTGAAGCACACTTTGCCTATACCTATCCTCATCCACCAGCAATAAACCAATCAGCAGACACCAGCAGCAACATGACCCAAGTTGACACTAATCTAATGCCTGATCATACCTCTCCTATTTCCTCACCAGACGATAACTTACCTACTAGTCAACCCCCTCCCGGAAAATCAAGCAGAGCAAAGCATCAACCCTCATCTGGATGACTATCACTGCAATTTACCATCTTCTTCCACTACAATTATGACTATCATTGTGATTTACCATCTTCTTCCACTACAATCCAGTCTCTCATAATGCTGGCTAGTCCATCTGCTTCAGGTAAACCTTTATCCCTTTATCACTTTATTTCTACTGATAGACTTTTCCAAACATAAGGCCTTTGCTACCTCTATTTCAAATGTTTTTGAACCAAAGTTTTATGACCAAGCTATCAAATTTCCACATTGGCAGGCTGCCATGAATTGTGAAATTTAGGCTCTTGAAAAGAATAATAGTTGGACCCTCATTCATCTATCACCTAGCAAACACACTATTGGTTACAAGTGGGTCTACAAAGTTAAATTCAAAACAGATGGTACTGTGAAAAGATGCAAGGCACGGCTAGTTGCCAAAGGATATACTCAACAAGAGGACCTAAATTTTTTTGACACATTCTCCCTTGTTGCAAAATTGACTTCAATTCGAGTCCTTTTGGTTGTTACAGCAGTGAACAATTGGTTTTTGCACCAGTTGGATGTTAACAATGCTTTCCTTCATGGTGATTTACATGAGGAAGTCTACATGGAGCTGCCCCAGGGATATCCCAGTCAAATCTCTCACTTGTTTGTAAGCTAAATAAAAGTCTATATGGCTTCAAACAAACATCTCGCTAGTGGTTTGCGAAACTCACTTCTAGACTTATCTTATATCGTTTTATCCAATCAAAGTCTGATTCGTATTCATTCCTAAAATCTACCACTGATTCTTTCATTGTTATCTTGGTTTATGTTGATGACATTCTTATTACAAGCAACAATCTTCATAAAATTCAATCTCTCAAATATTTCCTGGATGATCGGTTCACTATAAAAAATTTGGGTGAACTAAAATACATTCTTGGCTTGGATGTTGCTAGATCAAAGCATGAAATCAGTCTCTATCAAAGAAAATATGCCTTTGACATCCTTGAAGATTCTGGCTTCATTGGTTGCAAACCAGTGATATTTCCTATGGAATCTACTCTCAAACTCAAATCAGAAGATGCTAGTGTCATCTCTGATCCATCAGTTTATAGAAGGCTCATTGGTAGATTGATATATCTCACCATTACAAGACCTGACCTGGCTTAATCTGTACAAGTTCTAACCCAATTCATGTCGAGACCAGCCCAATCTCATCTAAATGCTGCTCACAAAGTCCTTAGATACATCAAAGCTACACCAGGTCAAGGTTTATTCTTTCCTTCCAAATTTGATTTACACCTCAAAGCCCACAGTGACAGTGATTGGGCCGGCTACATTAACGCTAGACGAAGTGTTATTGGTATTGCCATTTTTCTTGGAAAATCTTTAGTCTCCTGGAGATCCAAGAAGCAGACTACTGTTAGTAGATCTTCGGCTGAGGCTGAGTATAGAGCTTTAGCATCCACAACTTTGAAATCCAATGGTTACTCGATCTTCTCAATGATTTGACTATCACTCATCCTCAACCTGCACTCTTATACACAAATAGAAAATCGGCTCTTTCAATTGTTACAAATCATGTGCATCATGAAAGGACCAAACACATTTAAATCGACTGCCATCACGATCGAGAAAAGTTAAATTCAGGTTTAATCAAAATCATCCATGTTCCTTCTCATCACAAACTAGCAGACTTTTTCACTAAACCCCTTGACTCAGCTGTTTCACACACATATCTCCAAGATGGGCATTTTGAACATCCATATCCATCTTGAGGGAGGCTTACAATACAGCAACAACAGCACCATAAGAAGTTGGAGAATTAGTTAAATCAGTTGATTAGTTAGCCAGTTAGGAAGTTAATTCAGTTAGTTAGTTTATTGTTATTTCGTTAATTCAGTTGGCATCCTTTGCTTATAAATGATTTAATGTATCACATATTTGATCAAGCTTGAATAATAATTTTCTTCCCATTTATCTTCATCAGATTATCTTCTTCTATTTTGCATTTCTGAGTTGATGAATTTACCATTCGTTTCCTGGTCCTTTAGCCTCATCACTCTTTATTGAAGGGTCAAAATCTGTTCTATATTCTGTTCAGCTTCAGACCTAAGTTTCTTCATTAGCAGCTTTTCCAATTTGGTCACAACTTTAGCATAATCAGCCACTTCTGCCTCTAGTCTTCTATTATTGGCATGTAAGGACTCGAGTGTAAGATTATAAAGTTTAGCCTGCATATTGTTTAATTTTAGCCGGTTTTGCATTTCCATAACTGCAGTTTCCTGCTCTTTAAGGCCATAATACTCGAGAAGTTGAATTTCCAGGTTCCTCTCCCTCTCTTGGAGTGTTTTAACCTTGCTCCTTGTGCTACTAATCTCTCTGTTGGGTTCAGCGTATTTATATCCCTGCGGTGATTCTGCATAGGGAACTTGAGTTTCCATATTTTTACGTGGAGATATACCAGTCGTTTTGACAATTAAATCACATCCCTTCACAAGTTCACCAAATTCTGGCAAGAGATAACCGTTTCTATCTCTAAGGTATGTAGCACTTGGAGAGAGATCCTTGGTGGAATTTTCGGAAGTAACATTTGGCGAAGATGACTCCTGCAAGAAAGAAAAAAAATGAGATTAGCTTATTTATAACATCCAAAAATCAAGCACAATAATTCTGTCCTCATCAAGATTAGAATAGTTTATAAGATCAACCAAATTAATCCGATTATTACATTTTTCATTCTTTTCTCAATTTCTACCAGTAATTTCTGTAAATATCATATAAATCAAATCCCGAGAAAAGAAACAACGACCAGAAACTAAACATTATTTCTAGCTATATGAATTACTTTACGTCGAACATCCAAAATATCTTGATCAAATACTGGAAATTAAACTGCGAAACAAAAACCACGACTAAATATTAATTATGAAAAAAGAATTCAATCATCTTACACATTTTTCGTGTGAAATTTCAGCAGAATTGCCGGAATTTTTTTTTTTTTTGCAGAGCTTGATCATCATCTCTTGGCTCACAACTTTTCCCTCCCAAATTTGTACTCAAATTAACATGCATAGAACACAAATAAACAAAAAAAAAATTACTAATTCTTATATAAGAAATGATATTAATAAAATAGAAGCTAAACCATGAGAAGGCCGAGATTTATTGGGTTTTTGGGAAAATTGCAGTAGCGGCCCCTAACCTTCTCAATTTTTGCAAACTTTTCCATAACTTTCATTTTATGCCAGCGAAAGTTCCTAACCTTTGTATTTATACCCCCTAAAATTTAGAGCTTGTTTGGAAGAGATTTTAATCAAATTAAAATTGAAAATATAGCCGTTATTAGGTCACACATATCTAATAAAAGTCAACAATAACGGCTAGTTTTTCAATTTTAATTCGATTTTAATCCCCTTCAAACAAGTTCTTAATAATCACTCTAAACTTTTCAAAATTCAAGGAGTAAAATGTGCAATAACTAATTAAACATTTAATTCATCATTCAGGGGTTCTTTTAAAAATGACCTAGTCAAAGCCCATAATTCCACTTTGACTTTTACACTTGACAATAATCCCAAGATGACCCATTTGCTGTAAAAAGACAAAAACGTCCTTAAGTGACTAAAACAATTACAAAACATGTTTGTGTTACAAAGACAATACTATAATTCTAGTTAACAAATAAAACTCAAACGGTCCCTACTTAAACTTACAAAATC